AAATTAATTAAAAAAAAAAAACAAAATACATAAAAGAATAAATGTATTATTTATATACATATATAATGAATATTCAATAATTATTTTTTTATTTCTCGCTCACTTGTATTATTATATTTTTTAATTTACTTTAGTTTTTATTTTAATTTTTATTTAGTTTTATCATATCTATTGTATTGTAGAAACTATGATTTATAGACCAGTATTATATTCCCTCAATGCTTCACATAACGCCCATTCCGTCATGAGGAGTCCATATTTTCATCGCAATCCCCATTGTCACTTAATACATCCATAATTTTCCGACATGCAAATTTACGAGCGGCGCGACGCGATTAAAAGTTTATTAATTTAAATTCAGTGTACGCGCGCCTGTTCGGCGAAGATACAATGCAAACCTGAGGTATAATTAGAATGAAGTTCGCGATTGCGAGAAATCGGCTCGAGGCGCAAGCCGCGGTTAAAAGCTGCGAAAGTAGCGTCGTAGCGTCGCCAACGTCGCCGTCACGGATAACGGCGTTCCGAGAAGTTCGCGGGTCGTCAGATTTCATCAGCATCTCAATGGAAAACCATCAAAAGAGAGAGAGAGAGAGAGAGAGAGAGAGAGAGAGAGAGAGAAGAAGAATAGAGATTGTAGTAGTAATTTGTACTCTGTACACGTGCGTGGATACATACTATTTATGTACGTAACGGACTTACGGCTGTAAACGTGGATGTATGTGGTGTAGGTATTATAGGATCATAACGTACTAAGTCTGAGATATAGATATCGCAATGTGTAATATCCTGTGCTTCGATTCCACGCTCTTCCACTGAGAAATATTATATTTGCTCCTTGCGCGTCCCGCGACCGATTCCTTCCATTAAACTTTCTTCACATCATAAACTTTCGCCAGTTACGTCAGCTAACTGTTTTCCGATCTTGCTCCACGCCGAGCACCAACCAATATCGCAGAAAACGGAGCGCAGTTCGTTTGCAATGGTTATTCATTGTTTAAACTTGTTTAAAGGCTGAGATTGAACGTTAAAAAAGACGAAAGACGAAAAGACGTAAAGACGAAATCTAATAAACAAACTATTTCTTTTTATAATTCAAAAGTTAAGCTTTGAACAAAGTTTTGGAAGAGAAAAAGTCGTCTCAGAATTCAATCAAGAATATATCTTTCAAAGGACAAATAGTTATTCTGAATCACTCTGTATATACTATTTTATATATATAAAATATAATTTGTATTATATATACATATATCATATTTTACATTAATTTCGCTTGAAATTAGTAGTTTATCAAT